ATGCATACATACATACATACATACATACATACATACATACATACATACATACATGCATACATGCATACATACATACATACATACATACATACATACATACATACATACATACATACATACATACATACATACATACATACATACATACATACATACATACATACATACATACATACATACATACATACATACATACATACATACATACATACATACATACATACATACATACATACATACATACATACATACATACATACATACATACATACATACATACATACATACATACATACATACATACATACATACATACATACATACATACATACATAATAACACACACAAACCAACATACATGCACACCTACACAAACAAACATACAGACAAACATGCAAACAAACATCCAAATTTGATACACTAATCGGGCCTGATGGTACATGCCTGAACAAGCTCACAATGCTCAATTCCTCAAAAGCCGTTTTCAAATATTCCGGTATACATACATACATACATACATACATACATACATACATACATACATACATACATACCTACATACATACATACAAATACTTTCTTATATGTATTTGAAGTTTGTCAAAATATAAAGCAAACATTTGCAAAAATATAAAATTATTTATTATAAACGTTACTTAATATAGATGCTATCGCAATTATTGTTTATAATTATTAGAGTTATAATATTTTTACTTATATTAATGTTATTATTAAATTAAATATTTTCAAATAAATAAACTGTATGTAGCAGAGTTTTGACGAACGCACTTGCTCGACCCAACCCGCTTGTCAATAACTATTTAACTGTTGATAATAAATAATAATAATAAATAATAATAATAAAGAATAATAATAATGAATAATAATAATTATAATAATAATAATAATAATAATAATAATAATAATAATAATGTTGTTGTTATGGACCGAAGCGCAAAAAAAGAAGGTGGCCCCGAGAATGAAGGCTGTTGCAATTTGTTGGAAATTCTGATCAACATCAGTGACGTCATCAGTGACGTTGCTAACAACAACAACAACGACAACAACAGCTGCAACAACAACAACATCAACAACAACAACATCAACAACAACAACATCAACAACAACGACAGTAGTAGTAGTAATTCAAGTAGCAACAATAATAACGTCGAACGTGGCAGTACAAATATTAAACCTGATAATTTTTTCGATTTAACAAAAATCAACAGCAACAACATCAACAGCAACAACTGCACCGATGACAACAACATCAACGACTTTAATGTAATTGACAACATCAACGTAAAAATCAATGACAGCCAACATATTTTAAACAACAACAACAACAACAACTACAACAACAACAATAATAATAATAATAACGGCAACGAGTTGGACGATACATTAACAAGTTTAAACTGGCTGGCGAACTTGAACGTATCGAGATCTAACTCATCATCATCGTCCTCCTCATCACCTCTATTGTCATCATCATCGTCGTCATCATCACCCTTCGCACTTTTACTATCATCATCTTTGTCGTCGTCGTCTTCATCATCATCATCATCATCTACTCCTTTTCAATCATCATCATCATCTATTGCATTGTTGATGATGTCATCATCAACAACAACTACGACAACAACAACAACAACAACCATGACAACAACAACAACTAATACTACTACTCCTACTACTACTGCTGCTGCTGCTGCTGCTACTACTACTACTACTACTACTACTACTACTGTAATCTGCATGAGGAAATTTTTAACCATTGTGTCGCAATCTGCAACGTCATCGTCATCATCACTACCATCGGCATCATTACTATTACCATCATCGTCATCATCATCATCATCATCACCGTCGCAACCCTTCGCAATATCATCATCATCATCATCATCTTCGTCGTCGTTGAGGTCTTCAATCATTTCGACTCACGCGCTAAACATGATTCCAACAACAATGGCAACACCACGGTCGTCATCATCATCATCGTCATCATCATCATCATTAACGCTATCATTACCATCTCCGCTGTTACCATCATCATCATCACCTTCGCCATCATCATCATCATCATCACCTTCTCTCATCTTCAAAACACTTTCCATCTGCGGAGGAAACTTCTCGAAAGCCTTCCTGACCAATAGGAAGAGGGCACTGACCGATGAAATCTTCAAGACGATGGTGATGATAATGATTTTCAGGAAATGATGGTAATGATGATGATG